TCTTAAAACCAACCTGATTTCAAACCCTAAAAGGTACAGCTTTATTTCAGTAATTTACTATTAACCCCGGTTATCAACGCCGGTTTAACGAATGACAGGACGGCGTATAATAAGATTATAACGATGATCATATTAAAGAAATATTTAGTGCATCATTGTAAAGTAAACAGCGGCATAGCATGGATAACACTCATAATAAATGACCCCAAAAGGTACGGAGTTATGTTACGTAATTGACTTTTGAGCCGGAGGAGGTCCACACAGGAGGTCCACACAGGGAACATTTTCAACCTTAAAAGGAGCGCCGATCACTCCTACCACCTGAACAAAGGGAGTACACCCCCCCCCCCCCCGGGCATAGTTAGCTATTATCCATGCACAGTAAAAATGAATAACAACAGCAGCGCCTGACCGAGCAGTAGGAAAACAAACAAAATTATCCGACAAGCACACAAAAACATCAACCACACTTAGAGACGACGACGACGACGACGACGACTACCACCACCACAACAACAGCACTGAGCAGCAGGGGAGATATCACCATCATCATTCAAGCAGTACTCTAATAACCACAATATCCAACCAACGCGACCACAACCATCTCCACCACCAACACAACACACAGCACTGAACAGAAATAACATCAGAAACATCATACAAGCACCACCACTAACGACGATAGCATCAACATGATCATCATCATCATCAACAAGATCATCATGCATCAACTTTATCAATATAATCATCATCATCAACAAGATCTTCACGCATCATCTTTATCAATATGATGATGATCATATCATCATCAAGACCATCATACATCATCTTTATAAATAGGGTCATCATTAACATGATTATCATATCATCATCAACATCATTATCATCATCATCATCATAAACAAACGTAAACTGAAGTCAAACATCCTCTTTATCCTTACCTTCCACAGCATTCAACTTCAGCTTAATCTTCTCCGTATCCTTTGCAAACTCTTGCAAGAAATCATTATCGGTCTTCAGCTGAGACAACATATTTTCCATCCTCTCTGCATCTTCCTTGTACTTCAGCATTGCTTTTTCTATTTCTTTATTCATCTGGTTCGTGTTATCTACGATTTCTCTGAGCTCCTGGTTGTCTTGCTTTATATCGTTATTACCGCTCTCAGCCTTTTTAAGATCCTTTTCTGTTTGTCGTAGAACATTTTCCAGATTTTGGTAATCTTCACACAGCTTCAAAAACTCTTCTTCATTTTTTCTCATTTTCCTGCGATTATTTTGCATTTCTTTATCGTTTAACTCCTCATGTTCTTTTACTTTACTCCTCAACAATGCATTCTCTTCTTGTTTCTTCTCCAAAACTTGTTTCACCGAATTCAGCTTATCCATGTTCTCTGAAAGAAATCTTATGGACATTTCGGCAGCTTGTAGAGCACTATTCAATTCAATGTTCTTCTTATTCCTCTCTGAAAGTTCATTTTCAAGAGCGTTTGTCTTCTCTACAAGCGTTTCTTTGTCATGCTGTAGGCTTTTGTAGTACGATTCCATGGTTAAAGCAGCATTTTTATGCATTTCAATTGTCTTTCCAAGCTCTTGAATCAAGTTATCTTTCTCTCTCACTACATTATTGATGATTTCCTCGCCTTGATTAAGATATATCCTTGAACATTCTAACTCCTTTCTAAGACTTTCAATCTCCTCATCCTTAATCCTTCCAATTTCATCTTTCTGTAATATTAGACTTTGTTTCGCTTCTTTAAGTCCTTCAATTGCTAATTCCAAGACAGATATTTCTTGTTCTTTTTTCCTCAGTTCCTCCTCGAATGCGACTACTTTTATCTCAAGCTTTTCACTTAAAGCTTTGCTGCTTTCCAAAGATTTCTTGAGGCCACTATTCATAGTTTGTGATTCTGCTAACGCTTTCGTCAAATCCTGTAGCTTGTCTTCAAGATTTTTAATCTGTGTTTCAAGTTCCGACAACTTATTTCCAGAGACATGTTGTTCATCACGAATCTTGTCGTTTAAAATCCTTAGATTTTTTATCTCTTGTTCTTTCTCTATATTTTCTTTACTTTTCTGGTCGAGTCGTTCTCGCAATACAAGATTCAACTGTTCTGTCTTGGAAACTTTTTGTTTGAACTTAACGACTACCTCCTTCAATTCTGTTATCACAACCTTGAGTTCTTCTATTTTTTCTTGTTTGTTATCAATCTTTTTTGTCAATTTACCATCGTTGTTTTTAAGTCGTTCATTTTCTTTTATCAAGTCTTTCTTTTCCTGCTTTAAAAGGTGGACCATGTTTTGCTTTTCTGTTAGAGCGCCTTCAAGATTGTTACACTGTTCTTCTTTCTCCCGCAGTATCCTACTCTCTTGTTCTTTCTCATCTGTTACGTGTCTTAAAATCTTTTCACCCTCTTGTGACAATAGTTCTTCGTTCTTAAGCATTTCTCTTAATTTTTCAATTTCAATTTCCATTTTCCCCCTCATTTTTCGTTCGTTATTGATATCGCTTTTCAGTCTCATATTTAACTCGTCTCTCATCCTGATTTTCGATTCTAATTTTCCTACCAAATTCCTCGACTCTTCTTCCACTTTAATCCGGATTCCGTCGCTATTCTTTACCTTGTTTTCCAAGCCTGTGCATTTCTTGACAACAGCATTTAAAGTATTTTGCAACTTTTCCTTCTCATCCTTTAAAGCCTCGATTTCTTTCCTTATTGAAATTATGATATCCTCTTTTTCTGAAAGGGAATTTTTGTTTCTTAAAGCTGTTTCTTGTATAAACTGTTTAAATCCTGCAATAATTTCTTCTTTTTTCTCCAAAGTTTCTTTAGAACAGTCAACAAGGTTTTGTATTTCCTTTTCTTTTGAAGCAATTTCTTTCATCATTGATTGCYGTAACTCTTTTTTCTCTTTGTCAAATTCTTCAAATGCCTTAGCCTTATATTCCTTAAACTCTTCCATCTGCCTTTTGTACTTTTGGCGGCTCATAATAAGCTCCTTTCCTGAAGAAATTTCCAGTTCTTTGTTCTCCAAAAGCTCTTGCAGTTGTTCATTTTTTTTCTTTAAGGCTTTCAACTCGAGGTTTTTTTTTGCGAGAGTTTGGTTGATTAATAAGTTCATATCCTGAAACCTTTTACTATTCCATTTTGTCTTTTCAGAAAGAGTTTTTTTCATCTTACTCATCAGTACCTCTTTAGAATCTGCACCATCTTTCTCGCTTTTCTTTCTCCAGAAAATATCTTCAAACTCTTTTTTAGACTTTGTCGTCTTTGGAAAAGATGGTTTTGTTCTATCACGCAAAGATTTTGGGGTAGAACCGTTGGTAAGACCTTCTTCTTCTTCATCAAGTAGGTCATAAAATCCCCTCACCTCCTCTATCTGCTGGTCTTGAAGTGTTTCAAACTTCTGCACTTCGTCAACAAGAATTTCATTCATGCTCAGCAGTTCCTGCATGTCTTTGGCAGTTTTTTTATGGGCGTCTTTCTCATCCTCCACAGCATTAGAAAGCTTTTGGATCCTTGATTCTAAATTTCTTATCATCTTTTCCGACTCCTCCAACATCGTCTTCATTAAATAGGAACTTTCTTCCTTTTCCTTGCATCTCAATTTCAGAACGTTAAGTTCTTTTTTGAGCTCTTGAACATCTTCATTGTCCAACCCCAATACTTGAAATCTCTCGTCGTTGTTGGTCGCAAAACTTTCGTCTCTAAGGTATAGTTCTGATTCACTTTCCTTGCCATGCAAGAAGCTCGTTTTACCAATTCCTCTGTCATTTACAATCCTGATCCCTTCGTCCTCGGTCTCTTCAGAAGATATTTCCAAGTTGTCAAGAGCCATTTCATACTTGTTGTTCTTAATTCTGCTATCTGAAAGTTTACGTTTTAAACAAAGAATCTCTTCTTCCATATTTCTCTTCTCTTTCTTCAGCACCTCAACATAATCTACGGTCGTTTCTAGAGTGGAAACCTTCTTCTCCAAGTTGGAGTTAAGAAAATGAACTCGTTCCTTCAGTGTTTTGTTTTCTTCTTCAAGCTCGTTCACAGCTTTCGTCAGCTCGACAAGTTCTAATTCCTTATCTTTGTTGCTTCGGCTCAACTTCTCAACTTTTATCTCATTTTCCCCATGAAGAATTATTTCTTTATTTGCTTCATTGAGTTTCTGCTGCAGCATATGAATATTGTTGCTCAAAGTCTGCTCGGATATTTCTTTAGCTTTTCTAAGACTCTCCATAATGCTGTTACGATGCACAATTTCCATTTCGTGATGCTTCAACTTCAAGGACAATTCTTCTTGGAGTTTCTTCACAGAGTCTTCAGCATTCGATAAAAATTTTTTTGTTTCGTCAATTTTTTTTTCCTTAGATCGTAGTACTTCCTCCATTTCAGTTACCTTCTCCTTAAGATTTTCAATCTCTTTATCCTTTTCAAGTATTTCAGCGCTTGAATTGCGATTCTCTTCATCGATGGYCCTTATGAGGTCTTCGACATGTAACTGTTTGTCTCTCAGTGCCAAATCGGCATTGTCTTTGACATTYTGCAGTTCAGTCTTTATCAAACACAATCGTTCTTCTAACTCTTTCCTCGTTCTTTCGAATTCCTCAGTCTTTGCTTCAATCTCAAGCTTCCTACTTTTCTCTACACTAAACAATTCCTTTTCTTTCAGTTCCAGCGCTGTTTGCAATTTCCATATCGTCGTATCCTCTAACTTGACAGCATCTTGGAAATTTGTCGCAGCTCTTCTCATTCGTTCAATCTCAGCCTCTTTTAAACCTAAAGTTTCTGCAGATGATTTCCGTATGCCTTCAATATCTTGTTCCAAGCGTTTTTTCTCCTCGCGCAGAAAGTCAATCTCTCGATCTTTGGACAAAATGGTATCGTCATTTAATTTCCCGAGTCTTGCAGATCGTGTTTCACAGTAACTTTGTGCCTCCCACAAAGATAACCTAAGTTCCGCAATCTTCTGGTCTTTTTCTTTAATTGCTTGTTGGAGAAACTCATTCATTTTGATGATCTTTTTTTCCTCATCATTTTTTGCCTCCAAACATTTTCTCAATTTTTCAACCGTCGTTAAATCAACACAATCTTTATGCCTGTTGAATACCTCGCTCAATCTTCTCGCTTCTTCTTCTTTTTCTCTCAAAGCAGACTTACATTCCTTGAGAGAAGCCAAGAGTTCTTTTTCGCCTCTTTCTGATTCTTTAAGTAGTTTTCTGTACTTTTCGAGCTCTGATCTCATCTCGAAGTAATCTACAATGCTTAAATCTGCATCCGAAAAGGTATTCCCATACCTCATACTTGAAACTATATTTTTCATTGTTTCTCTTAGAGAAGCTATCTCGYCATCCTTATCGCACAATGCCTCGTTGAAACGTCGTTGTATTAAGTCTATCTCAGTATCTTCCCTTCTTAGAACGTTATCTGGATTCATGTTGATTGGGAAGCTGGTATTAGTCTAACACACCCACCTTCAGCTCGATTACCTTTTAGTTTCTATTACCAACTTGAAAATCAACCATGTTCAAAATTTTCCATCTCTTTGCTATATGTTTTGCTTAATACAGTTTTCGTATTGCTCTCGTCTTTCTAATGTGGACCGGATGACTTCACTCCTAAACGAATCGCAAGTTTTTAAGTGTCGATCAAACTACAACGTGACGTCACAGTGGCTAAATATGACGTCTACACTTGCGCGCGCATGTCAGTGGYGTTCAGCAGGAAGAAAACGCCTAACACGCGCGCGAGGATTTGGATTGTTCTTATGCCGATTGCTACAAAGTAGCTAGGAGCGCGAGAGATCTATAATCCAAACACGTGGTGAAAGAAAAAAAACAAAAAACAAAAACGGATTATGCCTAGGAGTGATTTTTATCTGTGAGCAAAGTAGCGCCCAAGAAGATATAACTAGCTAAAAACTAGTGTGAGCTGCGTCGGTGTTTCTAATGAAACAGTAATGATAAAAAGGTAAATTATACACCGTGAAAAGATGAAAAAACTTCCTAAAGCGCCCAAGAACTAAACTTAAACAGCCATCGTGGAAACAAGCCGAAACGAGCCATAGAACATAATGTTTACAAACTTGTCATTGCAGTATTTTAAGACATAATAATTTCAAAATACAGTCACTGTTTTTTAGTCATTATTGACTGATCAAAAAATGGCATATGAACGATATTAACTGTAGTTACTATGACAAAACTGTCAGCTTACACCTATATGCCAGCCTGCTGAATAATGAACTTCACAGTCTTCCAGGAACTTTATTTCTACAGCAATAGAGCGTTTTCACTCAACGTCACAGCGGCCATATTGGTGTAGCCAAACAATACATCTTCTATCCTCGGGGAATGGAACTCTTTTTATGCAAAAACTGTGCAGAAAGTTTCTATTGTTTGGTACACCAATATGGCTGCCTTGTAACTTGAGTGAAAACACTCTATAGCTTCAAAGACAGATCTTTGAGGTAGTCCACGTGCAATTCCTACACGTGACAGCTTAGAAGATAATTAAACTTTGTGTGAAAGATTGTGTGAAAAACCAACCAAGTAAGACGGTCGAAAGGCTTAAAATGTCATCCAAGAGCACTGAAGAAATGACGTGCATTCTTTTATGATTAATGTCACTGTTATAGAGTCGAAACTAGTTGTAAGGTAACTGAATGTGCTCTTGTCTTGAGTAAATTAAAGTTTGCCAGAAGTTAAAACGATAAATTTTAATTTAAAAACATACAATTCGCTTCTCCATTGACGTTCACTGTTCTTTGATCTTTTGTTATTTGTTTTTTTTCCCAAGCGGAATAATATCCAAAGAATGTTTTACTGAACCAATGAAGTGAGTCAGCTGGACACCCTTAAAGATACTAGACGTTTCATTATTACCGATATGTTAAGCAAAAATATTTTCTTTTACTATGGCAGTTATATTCAGTAACATTAATATTTTGAAAAACAAAAATATATAGCAACAAAAAAACTATCTGCTCGACATAACGGCAATACTGAAACCTATATTATGCTGGACGAAGTGCAAAATGTTCGTGCGCATTCTTCCATCAGAAAATAAAATAATATTTTGCTTAAGGGCTCAGACAGTTCGAAATAAGCAAAAAAAGTCTACTAGAAGAAGGACCAAGAAGTTGTAGTAACTGCGGCTGTAATATTGTCACGATTCTGTTTTTTTAAGACTTATATTATTTATAATTTATAATTTGTATATATTTATCTATTTTTCGCGTTTCTTTTAAACCTGCGAAATCAGTAAACAAACATTATTCGATTGATCATAGAATCCTTCCTGTGAGAGACAAAAATCCAAACAAAGGTCTCTGTTGGACTACGTTGATGTGGATGTTTCTCGATCAACATTTCAACAAAACTATTGTAGAAAGAAACGCAAAAGTCCATGGCTCCTTTGGGCATTCGGGACAGAGTTTACGTGATTCAACAGAAACAATCAAAAGATTATATACCTGGACGACTTAACAAAGAATACAAAGGTTTTGTGGCAGTACATTCAAAAGGATCCCAAATCTTAAAGAACAATTATAAAATGGAAAATTATGATGAATAATGAKGACAATGGTGACGAACAATCCTTCAAAATTTGGAATTATGTTGTAAAATGTATGACGACATGCACGATTCCAAATTTCGAACGATTGCTCGTCATCTAACATTCCATGATCTGAAGCATTGGTCGTTGCCCTTGATATCATCTTGGAATACCAAACGACTAGTGAAGCATCGAAAATCCTTTAGCATATTGGAATGTTTTGGACTTTATTAGTGCAGACCATTCAAGAGNCTAGCTAAAAACTAGTGTGAGCTGCGTCGGTGTTTCTAATGAAACAGTAATGATAAAAAGGTAAATTATACACCGTGAAAAGATGAAAAAACTTCCTAAAGCGCCCAAGAACTAAACTTAAACAGCCATCGTGGAAACAAGCCGAAACGAGCCATAGAACATAATGTTTACAAACTTGTCATTGCAGTATTTTAAGACATAATAATTTCAAAATACAGTCACTGTTTTTTAGTCATTATTGACTGATCAAAAAATGGCATATGAACGATATTAACTGTAGTTACTATGACAAAACTGTCAGCTTACACCTATATGCCAGCCTGCTGAATAATGAACTTCACAGTCTTCCAGGAACTTTATTTCTACAGCAATAGAGCGTTTTCACTCAACGTCACAGCGGCCATATTGGTGTAGCCAAACAATACATCTTCTATCCTCGGGGAATGGAACTCTTTTTATGCAAAAACTGTGCAGAAAGTTTCTATTGTTTGGTACACCAATATGGCTGCCTTGTAACTTGAGTGAAAACACTCTATAGCTTCAAAGACAGATCTTTGAGGTAGTCCACGTGCAATTCCTACACGTGACAGCTTAGAAGATAATTAAACTTTGTGTGAAAGATTGTGTGAAAAACCAACCAAGTAAGACGGTCGAAAGGCTTAAAATGTCATCCAAGAGCACTGAAGAAATGACGTGCATTCTTTTATGATTAATGTCACTGTTATAGAGTCGAAACTAGTTGTAAGGTAACTGAATGTGCTCTTGTCTTGAGTAAATTAAAGTTTGCCAGAAGTTAAAACGATAAATTTTAATTTAAAAACATACAATTCGCTTCTCCATTGACGTTCACTGTTCTTTGATCTTTTGTTATTTGTTTTTTTCCCCAAGCGGAATAATATCCAAAGAATGTTTTACTGAACCAATGAAGTGAGTCAGCTGGACACCCTTAAAGATACTAGACGTTTCATTATTACCGATATGTTAAGCAAAAATATTTTCTTTTACTATGGCAGTTATATTCAGTAACATTAATATTTTGAAAAACAAAAATATATAGCAACAAAAAAACTATCTGCTCGACATAACGGCAATACTGAAACCTATATTATGCTGGACGAAGTGCAAAATGTTCGTGCGCATTCTTCCATCAGAAAATAAAATAATATTTTGCTTAAGGGCTCAGACAGTTCGAAATAAGCAAAAAAAGTCTACTAGAAGAAGGACCAAGAAGTTGTAGTAACTGCGGCTGTAATATTGTCACGATTCTGTTTTTTTAAGACTTATATTATTTATAATTTATAATTTGTATATATTTATCTATTTTTCGCGTTTCTTTTAAACCTGCGAAATCAGTAAACAAACATTATTCGATTGATCATAGAATCCTTCCTGTGAGAGACAAAAATCCAAACAAAGGTCTCTGTTGGACTACGTTGATGTGGATGTTTCTCGATCAACATTTCAACAAAACTATTGTAGAAAGAAACGCAAAAGTCCATGGCTCCTTTGGGCATTCGGGACAGAGTTTACGTGATTCAACAGAAACAATCAAAAGATTATATACCTGGACGACTTAACAAAGAATACAAAGGTTTTGTGGCAGTACATTCAAAAGGATCCCAAATCTTAAAGAACAATTATAAAATGGAAAATTATGATGAATAATGAGGACAATGGTGACGAACAATCCTTCAAAATTTGGAATTATGTTGTAAAATGTATGACGACATGCACGATTCCAAATTTCGAACGATTGCTCGTCATCTAACATTCCATGATCTGAAGCATTGGTCGTTGCCCTTGATATCATCTTGGAATACCAAACGACTAGTGAAGCATCGAAAATCCTTTAGCATATTGGAATGTTTTGGACTTTATTAGTGCAGACCATTCAAGAGCTCAAAAAATTGAGCCATACAGTAAATATAGCAAGACATATTTGCGCATCCTAAGATTTTCATTACGCAAACTTGTGTGTGTGGTTTGTTTGTTTKTTTTTTKKTTTTTTTTTAATCATTGAAGTGACGTATTGTCTACGTACCTTGATTATTCTAGATGCTGAGAGCTTATTCAGCCGTAGCATATAAATTAACAAATAGCATAGTGACAGCGTCACTCTGCCACTAGCGCTTGACTGCAAAGCTGTCCTCATTTTACATCTTCATCGTGCAACACTACTTGTTAGCAACTATATAAAAAAGCTCTACAACTTTACATCGGTTACTCGTGCAAGGTAATTTAATTTCTTTATTATATAACGTAAAAATGGTTCAATATTAGTTTTACCGTGCTTCGGTTTAAGATAACACATTGTTTTTTTAAGTACTTAACTTTGCACGAACTTAGTTCAAACAATTGCAGCTACCGTGTTACCAAACATACCACTATTCGTTTTATAGCTTTTAACTAAAATGACTGCTCGTATAACCGAGGATTTAGTAATACTCGTTATTAGATAAATATATTAATAATTTGTATTCATTGTTAAAGATATTTTGAATGTTTAGCGAATACTCATTTCATATTTAAGATTTGAAAGCCGCTTTTTTGGAGCGTTTTTTCTACAACTTTCAAGGGATTTTCGAGTTTTTTTTGCCTAAGATACTAAGTAATTTTCAAAAGAACAAAATAAAAGCTAATGTAATTTAAAATGCCTTTTGAGGAGTTTTGAGAGCTAATCGTTTTTGAATCTATGATGCCTTCGTTTTGGAAAAAATTGAAAACTCTGAGTTGAGAACTGGTTGTCATAACTTCTGTCACTATTTGGACGTTTAACGATTACCACACGACACCTGACACAGGTTGTTCCTGTCAGAAATTTAGCACACCAATCACTTGGCGAAAAACAAGTTTTAGAATTTTTATATCTTAGAATTATAAATTAATTAAGGGCTTAATGGTCTGCGTTCCATTTAACGCTTTGTATGTTTCCATTAGTGACTAACTGATTTGAGACTTATCTTCATGATCTAATGCACGGGGCATTTTGTAATACATAAAGACGAGACAAAAGTGACAGTGCGCAAGTAATCCAGATAACTGTTCTGTTATAATATTTTAATTTATTTTTAAAATGAATATTGTCCTTTCTGCGTCCTTATTAACGCGAAAAGGTTCGTTGAAGTGAGAGGGGCTGCTTAAGTAGAACCATAGAGCCTCTATTAACTATAGTATAACACACACACACACACATTTAAATGCAGAGAGCGCTATTTTGTGACTCAAACAGTGTTCGTAAGAAGAGGTCCGGGGAAAATTTCTAAACAACGCTGTTTACCAGTAACGCAATAACATATTATTWWAAAAAAATGATATTGATACATAGTGTCGGTCTAGTTTAGTCGTCGTAATTTCTTGCGCAAAATACTGACATAATATCTTTGTCGAGAGCTAACAGACACGAGAGTCCTATCTACTATCCCCCCTCCCCCTTGGGAATAAAAGATGCTGTTTTACATGTGTTTACATCTAATTCAAGGGRCATTTACATATTTTGACAACGCGGTGAAGTTCAATTATTCTCAGAACTTTTTACTGAAGCTTTTGCCAGCGACTGTATGAGTTCCAAGAGTAGGGGCTAGTTTTTCCTTGCTTTCAGCACGGACTTGCCAACCATCAGGTGCATGGTTGGAAAGTACTTTTATCCTAGACTTTTTTTGAGACGCACTAATCTTAACTTAAACGAAAATAAAACAAAGCAAACCAATACCGTGAAGTTAACGTACTAATTAAGCATACAAATTGGTTAACTTTTGCAATGGTGTTTTCACGATACATGTGATAAGCCAATTCCCTTTTCGAAAGCACTCGAAACTGATGGTAAAAAAGTGGGTGCGACGACAGCGGTGTTTTATGCGTATTATTATAAGCTTAATCTTTGATTTATATCCACGATCAATAATCTTTTCAATTCTATTCGGTGTAGTATAGGTCATTTTTGATGGCGAAAACGTGATAGCCGAGAGAGAGAGAATAACTAAGACAGATCGATATGGATACAGATAGAGACAGTCTCCTACGCAGCCGCTATAATGTCAAGTGAGCGTTTCATGAAACAACTAATAGCGGCTGCATATAAGACTAAGAAAGAGAGAGGCGTGAAAGGTGGAAACAAAAATAAAGAGAGATAGAAAGATGAAGCCGGCTTTGATGACAAAACTTCCATTACATAGAAGTAGGCAACAAAATGCTTCCCCTAGTTGCGATTTAAAGTGTATACTTAGAAATACCTTATTTTAATAATATGCAAATCAAACAGTAAAGTCCTATACCGCCCTTGGGCATCAGACACTTGTAAGTAGCGACTACACCGGATGGATAACATTTAAAACTTATGTTTTTAAATGTTATTAAGGCGACCCATGGAGTTTTCTTGGCGCACTAACTTTTTAATTTCAAATCGCTAAGACGTGGACGCAAACAATTAGCTGGGGGGAAACGTCTTAGACGTTTGAAGAGAAAGATGAAGTTTTCGAATAAGCATGATTTTTACTGAAATCAGAATTAATACAAAACTTAAAGAATTGACAGTTCCTAAAGTAATCGCATTTTTAATAGGGTTTTTATGATCTGTTTGGGGAAAAATAATGTTGTTTATTCCCACGAAACCAAATTATAGTTCTAGAAAACACTTTTGGTCATGCAATGTTGTACCTACAAACAAGTTCAAGGCCATGAACACCCACGTATCGCCCTTTGAAAAGTTATCGTCATCCACCAGTACCCAAGACGTAGTTTACAAATAGTTTACATAATTTTATAGTGAGGTCTTTCCATTGTTGGAGAAACTCGAATTTTACTTTTGTTTAGACGAAGGATTGAGTCTGTGGCTTTTCTGTTCCGCAATAGACCGTTTTCGATTTCGCTTTGTCCTTGATTACAGACTCATTTAGGCTGCGTTCATAATGTATGG